GAAGCCCAGCTATATGAGCCCAGGAAGCCAAGGTGCCCAGAAGTCCCCCGCCCCAGGACCCTCTGGCTTGTGCCACTTCTTCCTAGAATAATGCATAATGTCCTCCCTAATGTGACACAACTTGCTCTTGCTTTGCCAGGTCTCTGCCCAGGGGCCACATTTCAGAAAAGCTTTCTCTGCCCGAGCAACTCCCAGTCATTCTGCTTTCACTGTGTTTCCCTGAAAATAAGACCTAATCGGAATAGAAGCCCTAGAATGGTGGTGGTGGTGCGGTTGCTCCTAATATAAACTCGAGCCAAAATGTAAACCCCACTTAAAATTCTCAGCTGGACACATTTAGTACACCCATTACACTATAGGATAAGCGTGTTCAACCCTAAACTGATCATATTAAGGTATATTTCCATATAAATAAATAGCACTGACAATAATATTTCAAATTAATGATAATGCAAATCATTATTAAATATTCATACATCCCCAAGCACACATCTATGGATGAGAGGTAGATGCCTGTGTCACCAGATGAACTTGAAAGTTTTGCAAAGTGCCAAATTGGAGTACAGACAATACAGGAATAACAGGCGCATCTGCTAATGAACAAGCCGCTGTGCTAGGACGAATCTTCATACCCACTACATCCTGTGCTGTGACGCTGCACTCTGAGCAGGTGAAACCCACAAGAAGTGGTCATTTACATATACAGAATTTAAAAAACTCAGGCCCCCAAATTCAAAGACCCAGTCCAAAAATGGGCATCCAAGATGAACACAGAGTTCTCAGATGAAGAAATACAAATGGCAAACAAATATATGAAAAAAATGTTTAGCATCATTGTTCATTGGAGAAATGCAAATTAAAACCACAGACTGAGATTCCATCTCACTCCAGAAAGAATGGCCAGGATCAAGAAAACCACCAACAACAAATGCTGGAGAGGCTGTGGTGAAAAAGGAACTCTCCTGCACTGTTGGTGGGAGTGCAGACTGGTGCAACCACTGTGGAGGTCAGTCTGGAGATTCCTTAAAAAGCTGGGATTGGAAGTCCCATTCGACCCAGCTATTCCACTTCTAGGCATATTCCCAGAAGAACTGAAAACATCATACCACAGCGATATACGTGCACCCATGTTTATAGCAGCACAATTTGTAATAGTCAGATCTTGGAAACAACCTAAGTGACCATCAACTGAGGAATGGATAAAAAAAGATGTGGTGTTTTTATACAATGGAGTACTACTCATCTATAAAGAATGATCACATTGAGATATTTATAAATAAATGGACGCAACTTGAGATCACACTCATAAGCAAAATAAATCAAACTCACATGTACAAATATCATATAGCCTCCATAGTGTAAGAAATGGTAAGAGTACGTAAGATTTTATGATATATCACGATTCCCCATTACATTGCTTTGAAGCCTTACAGTGTTTTCATTCATTAGTTGGAATGGTTTTATTCTGTTTGGTTAGATTTTATTACGTGTGATGGTATGAACAAGTATCTTGAAGAAAACAAGACATTATGGCAGCCATTGCTGATTTACTATCACCTTGCTATGAAGTCCTACCATGCTTTTGTTCTTCTGTTTCCATTGGTTCTCTCCTGTTGTGTTTTATTGGATTTTAATATGTGTGACAGTATAAACAAATATTTATGGAAAATGAGATATTATGGTAGCCATTGTTCATTTTCTGGTATTTGGTTCTCAATGCCCTGTAATACTTTCATTCTCTTGAATGGTCTTATTCTATTTTGTTATGTTTGATACTACTGTATGTGAAGGTATGCTCAACTATTTCAAAGAAAGAGAGCTCCTGTTAATATCCAGTTGTCTTGTGATGAAGTGCTGTGTTGCTTACACTGTTCTGTTCTGATCTGCTTTGTTCTGTCCTCTTTTGTCTTAATCTCTTTAAAATAAAATACAAAAAGTTTTTAAACAAGAAGTGGTCATTTAACAAAGCCTCTACAGCTGGACATGAGAGATGGGGGCCCAAGGTTCTATAGGGATGAAGGCAGGATGCTGAGCCATCCTGAGTCGGGGCTCGCCAAAAGCATGTGTGTCCTCAAGTTCACTGTGATTAAATCACATGTAGGAGATGTGGCCCATGCACATCAAACGTTAACAAGGGTAGAGGGGCGAAGGTTACTGAAGGTCAGGCCAGGAGATCTAAGGTGACTGGTGCTCTGGCCTGGAGCCTCAAGGACTTCCTTGTCCTCTGCTGTGTTGTTTTCTGCCTCTTTCAGAGCAATGGCAGGAGGACTGGCCCTGAGGTGTTCCCCAAACTCAAGTGGCTGGAAGGGAGTGAGCTCCCAGCCCCCACTCTACTGTCAGTACTAGAGGCACCCCAGGAAGAGGCGCACAGAAAGGGGGATCCCCCTGCCACTTTCCACTAGCCTTACTCCCTGCCATTTTCAGTGTCTCGTTCTAGTCACGGTTCTCCCAGGGTGACTTTATGTGCACAGTGGTGGTTCCTACAGGGACAGCACGATCAAGGCTCCTTTGAGATGCTCCCTTGACTGTATGGATTTAAGGTTCCGGATTTTGTTGAAGCAGCTTGTTGGCTGCTGTGGCGAAGGGAGAGAAACACCAAGTTGGGCATTGGAGGACTTGACACACAGCTTTCCAGGAATCTCTTCCAACAGCTGCCACCTGTAAGAAATAGAAAGTTAAAGTGGTGCACGTTCAAGATGAAACCGGTAAGTCAGAGTGGAAAGTTAGAGGGAAAAGTTTATGCAGTAAGTGGGTCTCCAAGCAAAGGGCCATGGGAAGAGAGAAACTACAAAGGAGGCCACCACCGAATGTGGGCATGAGCAGAGGGCGGGAGGAGAAAAGCATATTGTCTTAGCTAGGGCTAAGGAGCAACAGCGGAAACTGCGGCGCTGCAAGCTCCTATCCATGGAATCTGTAAACAGCAACTGTGCTTCTCCACAAGTTGCAGAATTAAAGAGTAGGTGCAACTAAAAGAGATCCAAACTCACATAAGAGGGCGGGTGGCTGGGGCCCCGCTTACCTGAGCATCGCTGGGGAACACTGTGCCCCGACCTAGTACCCAGCACCCAGCCCATGTGGAGAAGAGGAAGCGACCCGCATGCCAGGAGGTAAAATTGCTGCCCGCTGTGACGGCCCCGGAAGTGCCTGTGGGTCGTAGGAACACCCAGCCTGGAGTGAATTAGCAGCCTTGTTTTGCTGCTTCTCCTGCCCCTGAAACCCATTCTTTGGGTCTGGACAAGAGAGCACATTTCTCCCAACACCCTTTAGGTCTTTTCCCCATTTTACATGTCACCGCTGTCTCCCGCAGACTTCTGGTACCTGTGCTCTACCCAGAATACCCTGCATGCCTGGCTCCCCCAAGCTTCCCACCTATTCACCACCCACCCTCTGCACCCAGTATCTGCACACCAGTCACTGAGTTCTGCCCCTTCACTGACTTCCTGTCGCCAACCCAACAGGCTTCTTCCCTTCTCACTGCTGCCCACCAACACCCAGCCCCAAGCTGCGCTCCTCCTGAGCCACCCCTCACTGACTGCCTTGCTGCCCCCAACCCAGTGGACGTTCTCTCCACCTCCCGCGATCCCTAACCTAAACTCAGCGGGATCCCCAACGCCTTCCACGTCACTGCCAATCATTGACTTCCCTCCTGCAGCCATGTCACCCACTTTCTGGCCCTCCTACCGATCCCCAGCTACACTCAGACCTGCCCCATGTGTGGTCCACACGTTATCACTGACTTTCTGCCAACCACTGGTTTCTCTCCAGCAGCTGAACAACTCCTTTCCCTCCCAAAGTACTGCCACCTACATTCAGCTCTGCCCACAAGGAGCTCTAAATCCTTCACCCGCTTCCTGCCAATCAGGGACCTCCTTCCTGCCGCCCACCCAATGGACTTCTTTTCGCTCCCACTGTACCCCTTCCAACCCCACCTACACTTAGCCAGGTAGGCTTTGAGGTCCTCACCCTGACTTCCGAATTCTGACCCCGCCCACTGAGTTCTCACCAACCCCGAGCCCCTCCCACGCCCCCCCCCCCCGGTGATCCACACCCCTGTCCCGGGCTTCTGTCCAATCCGTGATTTCCTGCCCACCCCTGCTCAATGGGCTTGCTTTTCCTGGCTGGACCCGCCCACTCCTACACTAAGCCACTCCTCCAACCCGCCATGTTTATTGATTCACTGTCTCTGGTTGACTTCTTTCTTGCAGCCAACCCACCTGACTTTCTATCGCTCGCCCGCCTCTCCCTCCACTACACTCGGTCCAGCCTCCTGCACAACCATGGTGACACCCCTCTCACAGACTTCTGTCCAATCACTGACTTACCTCCTGGCCCAGACCCAATGGACTTTCTTCCTCTCACTCACCCCGCCCCTACCCCACTCTCTCCCTCCACTCTCGCACCCAGGGCATATTCGCAGGCTTCCTTCCTGCAGTCAATGAAACGGACTTTCGACCCACACCCATCCCCCAACCCCCCACCCCTCACCCCCGGCAAATACATTCAGCCACGCCCCCTGCCCTGCCGTGGTCTCCACCCCCTTGATGGACTTCTGCCCAATCACTAACTTTCTTCCTAGCCCCTCCCCAAAGGATTGTCTTCCTTGGCCTCTGCTTCCAGAACCTTCCCTCGGCCCGCCCCTAGCCTCCTCTCTTGCTGCGCTGGTTCTTCCCACAACTGCCCTAAGGGACTTCTTCCCTCCCCACTCCCTGCGACACCTCCCTCAGTGTCCTTGGGTCTTCCTTATGTCTTGACCACCCGCAGGTGGCATCACCACCCTTACCTACCTCACCCGCCGGGCGCCACACTCCGCTTTCTCCAGCAGCACCTTCCTCACCCAGCTGCCACCCTCGCTCGCTCGCTCGCCGTCCAGGTACACAGGACGCCGTTGGCAGAGGGACCATCCGCTGCCCAGCCTCTTGGCCCTTGGGACCCGGCTCTCCTGACTGAGGAGGAGACACCACTGTCCCTTGCTTGGTGCGCCAGGTGTGCGGACAGTCACCATGGCCACCTGTCTTGGCGCCAGCGATCAACCCAGCCTCGGCAGAGGCAGCAGAGACTCGAGCTTCAGGAGTGTCACGGTGCCACAGCAAGAAGGTTTCAGGACGGAGAGAGGGGTCCCCCGGAGCTGGACCCAGGCGGGCCCCTCGGGCAGGTCCTCACACACCTTGCGCCTCCAGGAGCAGGAGCAGGCGGGGAGTCGCTCGTTGGTGCACTATCTGCAGCACCGCGCCCTGGGCATGCGGGGCCGCCCCAGTCTCCAGGGCGTCAGGGGCCAAATGGGCTGCAGGTTAGCGTCCCAACTGCCAGAGCTGCTGACCGAACGCCGGCTGCACCTGGGCGCAGTGGACAAGGTGTTCTCGTCGCAGTGGCTGAATGACCGCCAAGTGGTGTGTGGCACCAAGTGCAACACCCTCTTCATGGTGGATGTGCACTCCGACCACGTCACTCCCATCCCCCTGCTGCAGGACAGGCGGCCCAGATGGTACCGGGTACACCCTGCCTCTGGCATCCGCGCCATCGAGCTGAATCCCTCCAAGACGCTACTGGCCACGGGGGGCGAAAATTCCAACAGCCTCGCAGTCTATCAGCTGCCCATGCTAGACCCCGTGTGCGTGGGCGACCGCCGTGGCCACAGGGACTCCATCACCTCCATGGCGTGGATCAGTGACGCCGCGGTCGTGAGTGGCTCTTGGGACGGCTCCTTGGCAGTATGGGAAGTGGATCCTGACAGGCTGACTGGCAGCACGGCTTGCAGCAGTGAAGCGAAGGTCCCACCATATGCCCATATCCGTCCAAGGAACAAAGAGCTCATCCCTGGATCCAGCATCCACTATGGCAACTCCAAGGTGCAAGCCGTGGCTTTCGGTGGTAAGAGACAGGAGCTGGCAGCAGTGTCCCTGGATGGCTACTTCCACCTGTGGAAAGCCCAGAGCACCCTGACCAGGCTGCAGTCTTTTAGCCTGCCCTTTGACCAAGAAAACACGTGCCTCAGCTACTCGGAGGAATTGTCCCTTTATGCCGTGGGCTCCCAGTCACACGTCTGCTTATTGGATCTGCGCAAAGGCCACCCCAATATCGGGGTCAGGCCCGTGTGCAACATAGAGGATGGCATTGGTGTGTGCTCCATGAGCTTCCATCAGCATATCATTACCATGGGCACGGGCCACAGCTGCCTGATATTCTTTGACATCCGCAAACGCAGGTTCCTGGAAGAGATGTCTGCGACCAGCCCAGAGTCCCTTTTTGAGCCCACAGGCAGGAAGCTCAGACTCTCCTGTAGCAAACACTGGGCCGACCAGGATGACCACTGGATGAATTATTACCCCAGTATCCAGGACATCCCTTACGGGATCTACACCCACTGCTACAACTGGCCTGAAATGAAGCTGTTCATGGGAGGAGGGCCTCTGGCCTCAGAACTGCGTGGGAGCTATGCAGGCCTCTGGAGCTAAGGACAGCTGCCTCCTCCTCCAAGTACCTTCATTTCCTTTTCAGTTCAGTCTAACTTTCCCTCTCCAGGCTGCATTTGTGAGTCTTCACTGTGTCTTTTGTCTTTCAGGTGGAACACCCTGCCAGTGGGCTTCGGAGAGATGGAGATCTTTGATCAAATCAAAAGTTGAGTTTCAATCTTTCTTCTCCTTCCTGACACCATCTGTCTGAATTTCCATACAAACATCTGGCGTTAGTGTTTAATGCCGTATTTTTTCACCAGTGCACGTCCGCAGCACGTTAACCATTGCTTTCCTGGAGAGGAGGTGGTGTGGACACCTCACATAATTAACTGAACAGACAGTTTAGGTTAATCCTCAGTGACCCTCCGTCCTGACCCATTCACATATTCTGTCTGGAAGAGATACTGCCATTGCCCTACAACTGTATTCCTTTTCTGTTTTCTTCTTACTGCTACGAGAACAGAAACGTTTCAGTTATTGATTTATCGAGTTTTTGTGACAGACAATATATACCTTTAATTTTGGACATATTCTAACAGTCTTTGGGCGTCTGTGCTGAGAATTAATTCGTCCTGTAGCGCATATGCAGTGTGAAAATCAATTCCAGTTCTATGTGGTGTACTCTTAGAAGCATTTCACTGGCTCACTGTGATAGAAGTGTACGGAGTGTGTAGTGCATGTCCCCGGTACTCAAGTGTTTCGGTAAAGTTTATTGTCTTGGAATAAGAATCATCACGGAATCTTGTGTTCCTATGGGAATCCCAGTTGGTCTGAATGTTTTTGGGTCCACAAAGGTGTTGCTGATTCGAATGTTCTGAATTACCTGAAAGATGTGTTGTGTGTTTTCTGCTGCTTTCAACAGATTGCCCTGATTCTTTCGCACATCAGTCACAGCGCCTCCTGCATCCATAAATTTACTGCTATGCATACACAGCACTGGAAACGAGTCTTTAGGCTCATGAATGTTTAGAGATTTCTCTAGTCTATTTTTCAGTAAATAACCAGAAGCACCTCCCTTGAGAGTGCTTGAACGTGAGTATGTATTTGCTAAAGTAATTCCTGAAGGGTTACCCAGTGTCTTTGTGGTCTACCTTCCCCTAGGTATGAGGGGACTTTTAGGGTATTTCTGAGGTTGTTGTGGGACACAAGGACAATGCTTACAGGGGAAATGACTTTTGCCATGCTGGGTCTGATTTTTAAGAATAAATGCAGGGCGGAGGGAGGTTGGTAGCCCACGCCTATTATCCCAGCACTGGGGAGGTTGAGGCAGGAGGTTTGCTGAAATTTCAAAGTCAGCCTGGGACACAAAGTGAGTTCAAGGCCAACCTGGACCACCTAGTAAAATCCCCTCTCAGAAAGACCAAAAAAAAAAAAACCCAAAAAAACAAAACAAACAAACAAACAAAAAAACAAACACAAAACCAGAAAAAGAAAGGTAGAACTGAAAAAACTGTATGAACGTACAGCCTCTGTGTTGGTGGTGTGAAAACAGGGTGCCTGGGTGTTTGCACTGCTGGACAGGTCCAGAAAAGTTTTCCTGGGGCTAGCCTGGCTTAGAGAGCCTTGTACAGAGTTGGTGTGTGGGAGGGGGAGCGGAGCTGAATCAAAGTTTTCCTAAAGAACAGGTGTAGAACTTTAGCCACCCCACCAGCCTCAGTCAGGCAGGGAATCTAAGCTAAGAGGAGGGAGCTGGGGATGGAGCCACAAGGTAGGGAGGGCAGTCCCAGCCCTGGAGGGAAAGGAGGAGGAGGGAGGAGGAGCAGGGCTCCCAGAGGGGAGAGCAGGCCAACTCCCTATGAGCATGTCAAAGGGCAGCCCAGGAGGCAGGAGGGAGCTGGGGGGTGCTCTCCAGGGCCTGAGAGGACTGAGGGCCACCAAGGCAGAGGATCCCCTCCCCACCAGTCCAATTCCTCCTTCAGGCCCATTGTCTCTGCTGCTTGGCTTCCGGGTAGCACTGACCCACCCTAAGGCTGCTGGTGTTTGCAGGCTGACTCTGGTGCCAAGCCTGTGGCAGTGTTCTTTAGCCTCCAGCCTCACTGCACTGCAGGGTATTTATACTGCCTAGCTCTCTGGGGCTTTTGGATGCTCTGAGTCCCTGAATGGACAAGTAGGCTGCCAAGGGAAAGGTTCCCAGGTCAGATTCCTTTGTAAGCTGACCGAGTAAGCCTTTCCAGTACTCCTGTGGAAGTCTCCTATGTTCCCATGTCAGAGACTTACTGCATTTTCTTGCCTGGGGACAAAGCCATACTCCTTTAGTGTCTGGTCTATTTCACTCAACATACCCTCCACGGGCAAAAAGCCAAAGCAAACTGCACCAAAATAAAACCAGGGGTAAGAAAACAAAAGTTTGTTAAAGTAGAGGTCCCCGAGCCATGACACTGAATGTCTGCGGCAGGCTTGAGAATGTCCCCTTGTGAGAGGAAGCCCAAGTGGAAGGTAGAAAGCTCCTCTCTGGGTTCCCTTGCCTTGCCTTGCCTCAACAGCCGCTGCCTCCTTGCTCAGGTGCCTTGACCTGGCCTGCATCTGACTGCCTCTAACCCTCAGCAGGCAGGGCTGGGCTCCTCCTGCCTTGGGCTCTGCAGAGCGCTGGGCCCCTTCCAGGGTGGATGCAAAGAGTCCCAGATCCTCACTGTGCTCAGGGGTTGACAGGACCACTGGGGAGTTGAAGACGGAGATGGAGGAGGAGGAGGAGCGGGAGGAGGAAGAGAGGACTAGGAGGAGGAGGAGGACGACGAGGAGGAGGAGAAGGTAGAGGGGTTGGAGCAGGAGGAGGAAGAGAGGACCAGGAGGAGGAGGAGGCAGAGGAGAAGAAGGAGGAGGAGGAGGAGGAGGAGGAGGACGAGAGGGATAGGAGGAGGAGGAGGAGGAACAGGAGGAGGGAGAGAGGACCAGGAGGAGGAGGAGAGGACTAGGTAGGCAGAGCAGGTAGAGGAGGAGCAGGACTAGGAGGGAGAGGACTAGGAGGAGGAGGAGCAGGAGTAGCACTAGGAGGAAGGGGAGGAGGAACAGGAGGAGGAGGACTAGGAGGAGGAGCAAGATGAGGAGGAGGAGCAGCAGGAGGAAGACAGGACTAGGAGGAGGAGGTGGAGGAACAGGAGGAGGAGGAGCAGGAGAAGGAGCAGGAGGAGGATCAAAAGGAGGATCAGGACGAGGAGGAAGAGGAGGATGTGAAAGAGAGGACTAGGAGGAGGAGGAGCAGGACTAGGAGGACCAGGAGAAGAGCACTAGGAGGAGGAGGAGGAGGAGGTGGAAGAGAGAATCAGGAGGAGGAGGAGCAGGAAGAGGAGGACCAGGAGGAGGAGTGGCAAAGCGTGGTGGCAGAAGTGCTTAGCCCTAGCACTCCAGTGGGAAGGTGGGGGTGGGGGCAAAAAACTCCTCCAGGTGCCTCTCATTTTCAACAGCTCTTCTGAGCAGGGACCCCCTGCAGCCACGCCCTCCTGTGCTGGCTGCCAGCCCAGGATGCTTGCTGGAAGCCTGGATGCCAGCGCAGCCTGTTTCTTCCCTGCTGCACCCCTGCCAGCAGCAGCGGAAGCAAGTGGGCAGAGCAGCAGCCTCCAGGAGGGAGGGCCCAGTGCGCTGCTGTCCTGCAGGCTGGGAGGGCAGAGCACTGCTCCACCTGCCTCAGGCAGTGGCAGGACCTGCCTGCCCCCTGCCCAGCGCTGTGCGCCTGTCTCCAGGGGCTCAGACTGCTTCCTGCCCAGCCCCAGCCCCTTCCAGAGCTGATGCCCTCCTCAGCCAGCTTGTGCCCACACTGTCCCTCAGGGCCTTGTCCTGCTTGTCTTCCCTGCTGCTGTCCTGCAGGCCTTGGGGCCCCTAAGCCCCACCTTGCGTGTGGCACCTCCTGTGCCTCTTGCTGTGGAACTTATGGCCCATGGCCACCTGGAAAACTGAGCTAGAGGGGCACTTGGGCAACTTCCATGAGATGGAAAATGCCTTGGAGCAGGGGATCTTTGATTTGTCTGGAAAACTTTTTGGAGGCGGTTGGATTAATGTCTGTGTATTGAGGCTATGACCATGGGATTAGTGAGTGGTGGTGGGATTAAGGGTGCCTCACCCTGGGTGTAGGTGGCACAGATCAATAGGTTTAAAGCCTGGGTAGAAAATGAAGTGAGATTGGGATGCCTGCAGCTAGTGTTGCTGCTTGCTGCTCCTCTGGCCTTCTGCCTACCATGCCATGAGCTGTTTCTCATCTGTGCTGCCCCTCTGCCATGCTCCTCCTTGCATGGGCGCACCTCCTGTGTCCCTGGCTTGGGGGTCGGGGGCCACCTCCACTTTCCTCTGGTCCAAGGCCCTCACCTGGGAATTCCTGGCCATTCCCAGCCTCTGGAGACAAGGGCTCCAGTTGCACTTGGGCAACTTGCTTGGGAATGCAGGGTCCCTGCACCAGGAGACACGGGTGGTGCCCAGTGGGCTCACTCAGCTGGGGCGGGCCCAGGAGCCTGGGCTGGCTCAGAGGAAGATGGCTGATGGCTGATGGCTGATGGCTCAACGTAGAGCTGCTGGACCTCCTGTGGGACCTGCTGCAGAAGAAGCAGGACAGGTGGGCACGGGACCCTCCTAGTCTGGTAGCTCGGGCGTAGCCCTGGGGTGGGGTTGGACCCTGCCTGTCCATCTTTCCCTGGTCCTCAGGAGCTCAAGGCACAGCTCTCCGGCCTACATTGCCCTCCCCAGCCTGAACAGTGTGAGGAAGCTTCCTTGTTTGTACTCCGCATGCCTCTCCCAGGACTCTGCTCTGAGTGTCTCAGGAGGTGAGGAAGAGCTTCTCTATGGCTCCCCTGATAGTGGGAGACCCCTCCTGGGCTCCACCAGAGACACAGTCACAGAGACAGAGACAGAGACAGAGACAGAGACAGAGACATAGACACCACGGAGATTCCAGCTGGTAGCCTGAAGCCCTCCCCTCAGAATCCTAGACAGCAGAAACGGGGCCCATGGGGTGCAGACTGGGCCAACACAGGGCTGTGACATGGAGTGTCGGTGTCGCTCCCGGCCTGCAGGAA